AGTAAAAGCAGCATTACAAAGAAATATCTTTCTATATAAACAAAAGAAAAACAGCACATCAAACTTACATGACTCGCAAGCATGTAAAGAAAGAGATTAAACGCAGCTCCAGCCCAAGCAGTTTCAGTGATGATGCCAGAGGTCCTTGTCACTTCTTGTATAATGGAATAACTCGTAAAACCCTTGGCACATATTGGAAGAAAACAACAAATTTCAGCAAGTTCTTCGTGTTCAAGGATTCAAAGCCTCCATCTTTGGAATTATGATTAAAATCACCACCTACAATATTTTAGCAAGGTCAGTCAACAAGTTTACAAATGAATCCAGCTAACTAACCTTTGAACCTAGAGCCCCACAAAACACTGAACATATTTAATTTAAAGAATTGAACTTATCCTCCATTCTCCATTGTATGTCTAAGTGGGTCCATATGCCTTAACACAGGAAGTAATTGTTTTTAAATTAATCACACAAAAGAGCAGAAGTTCCTTAACAGAGAAAGAAAAAAGGTTAGCCAGTACATGACGCACAGACTCGTTAGCACATAGGTCTTCACAAGCTTAAAGATACTTTGATTGGCCTCATCAGAAAGTCTATCTAAGGATTAAACAGAGGGGTAAGGGGCTGGAATGGTCTGCATAGGTGGTTTACGTAACTTTCTGGACAGTTTGGGGCAGAAGACATGCATGGTAACCGTTCAGAACAATTTTGTGGTAATTTTAGGTTTAAAAGAGTAAAAAGAAGAGGACAGGCGTGGACAAATTATAGAGTGATGTATGGAAGAACTCCAGTGTCCCAAAGGGATTTGCTTTCCTGCTGTTTTTCTATCCTAAGTGCTATTGCATGTATGTTGTATAAACTCCTACTCCTCAGTCCTCGGTTCTGGAATCCATCAGATATGCAACTGGGGATCAGGAAAAAGAATAGAGAGAATAAAGGGAGGGGGGGATACTATTTCTGAGAAATTTTTCTTACCTGTGGGAGGGGAAGAACAGCGAGAATGTCAACAAAGAAGTATGATGCCAGATACCTCTTTGCTATTGCCCAAGCATCTTCAACCAAAACACCTCTTCCAAATACCCGAGAAGATGGTGCAATAAATCCAGTACGAAATTGGAAAATTATGTGGACTATGTAAAAAATATCAGAGAAAGATCTTAAAATAGTGGCTGTAATCTCCATCCTGTAGTCCAATGAAAGGCATTTCTTCTCATCATCAATGACAGGGACATAAAAGAATAAAGGATCTAGTGATACAGCAATAATACACGATAATACAAATATCTTGTTCCACTTCTGAAGGAATGGGCCTTGTGGATCAAGGATTTTCTTTCTAGAACAGAAACTCCGGGACAAATGATTGTCAGAGGGGAAAGATTTGAATGATTTTCTAAATCTCTTTATACCCTCAGAACCAGATTCAAGGCCTCTATTAAACTTAGCTGAAATCGAATTTAGCGTACTTCTTATTCTCCCAGGGTACGTTATGGTATTTTCAGAATATGACTTTCAGAACCCTTGTCTGAATTCCAATCCCGAACCTGAACATTAAGTAAACAAATGCAAAATCAGTACATTATCCAAATCTTCTTCCGAACAAGATTCCAAATTTCCGTCCAAAAAAAAGAAAAAAAGAAAAACCGAAAGGGGGAAAAAAGGAGTGCAATTTGAAAACCAGTGGCGACACCGGCGAAACAAAAGGCAGGCCTCAGTGGAAAATAACATTAATTCAAAGTTGCTTCCTGTTCCAGCAATATGGCAGTAGGGTGCCAAAAAGAGACCGTATGGCAGTTCTGTCTGCTTAGGGCAGTCAATGACAGTCAATGAATGTAAGAAGTAGATAGACATAGGCGATTATTTATTTCACCTTCAAACTTCCAAAAGTTATATACAAAGTAAAGCATTACTGGCCTCCAAGATATTTCCTTCCTTCATGTTCATTGCATCCCAGGCACACTAAAATGTTTCAAACGTAACATAGAGGACACTTAAAACCGCAAGTAGAAGAGCGCATGCATATTCGGCTAACCTCACAAACTTCTCTTGCTGAAAATTCATAACTGGAGCTTAGTTTGGAAAAATATGCTGGATATGATGAATCTGTCTGATAGATCTCAATGAATCTGAACAAATCCCTCAGGCACCAAGCATTTCACTGCCTGCACCTGAAACAACAAGATGAAGAAGACATTCACGGATAGATAATGCATTTCTCAGGAGGTAAGAAAGGCACAAACTCGTCCGTAACAACATCATCAACAATGGGTTATAAGAGTTTGCTTGGGATATTATTATGGAGTCTGAAAATAAATATTCAGAACAATATCTATTAAAAAAAACGACTGCAGTTCCAAAACTGACTTATTTATGCAGAAAATTTTCCAATTCTTCCAAAATCCAATCGTCTGTAACTGGGTTATAAATATCTCATAATATCTAATTCTGAATGTCCCATATAAAAATAGAATTTTTGGGGGTGGGGGGACAACACAGTAGAAAAAACAAAAACAATCTTTATTCCCCGCGTGCTAGTAATAGAGCACTTAAAGTCAATTTATAACAGAAAGAGAAAAGAAGAAACGTACGAAGCACTTAATTCAAACCCAGCAACTGGTGGTGATGAGAAGCAGAGCGCAGAAAATGAAGACAGGAACTGCAAAGGGACCATGAAGAAGAATGATTCCCAATAAAAATCTCAGCAGTTAAAATAGGTAAGAGGAATAGCAGAACAAGATCATGGTGATGGTGATGATGATGAAGGATACCCAATCAGGAAATAGATTGCACTTGTCCAGGCTGGGAATTGCATGAGGAATCAAAGCCGAAGCGATGGACTTCTGACACCTCCAAACACTTGAGGGAAGGAAGAAGAGGGCAAGACGAAGGTTCGCGGAAAGTACAATGGCAGCGATGGCTCCTTCAATCGTTTTGCTCGCAAAAGAGAATATAATAGAACAAACAAAAAGGGGGATATTAGTAATTCGGCTTTTACAAAATTGCAAGTGAAGACGAAGGGGAGAGAAGAGAGAAGGCGTGCGGAAGGTTGGAGTTGGTGATGATGCAAGAAATTCTTGCCTGTATCGGGCCCCACCCCAGTTTTGTACCATTGGCTCGCATTGTTTTCTGCCCGGACAGTCAAGTCCGTTGACTCAAACGTTCTGCTTCAGTTTTACTCCTTATTTTCACTTTTTTCAAATGGAATTATTATATGCAATGCATAAATTTCTTTTTCAAACTGGCTGAGAGTGACACTAATTACGTAATTAAGTAAACATTGGCAGTGTAATTTGACAATGGAGACCGGGCCTTAAATAATGATAAAATGACTAAGCAATATTTTACTTGAGCGAAGCCAGTTTCATTTTGATGCGTTGACCCCCGATGTTGACTATTAAACTGTCCGAGTCAAAAAAATATGGTTTCTTTCGCTTTTATTAGAAGATGTTTGGGTTAAAACAAAATCATGATTTTAAAAATGTTTTTACAGTATTGAAATAAATATGTAGAAGAGTTTATCCTTAATTTACAGAAGTGCTTCTGAAAATACTTTTGAGATTATCTAAATATTCACACGACGCAGTGTTAACTTAAGAGGTAGATTTATCAGATGTAAGATTATTAATTTCCAAATCAGTTTGACTCTGCAGAAACAAGTTATGCCGGATTTTGGGGAAGGAGACATAAACGGAAGGAATGGCTCAAGCCTCGTACTGTTTGTACGTATTAAACTAAACTAAATTATAATGATAATATAATTTGGTATTAATGAATGGGAATGGGCTGGGCGTATTTTTGGGGGAGGGGATGGGTAAGTAAAGTCAACAGTTGTACTGATAATTCATAACGTGACTAGGATAGTCAAAGTGGGCTCCCGCAGCGATGCCGAGGGATTGTTCATTTTCAAACGACCAATATCCTCTTTCACACGCATTGTACGTGAATCCCCGGTTCATGTTGGTTTAAAAAAAAAAAAAACTGGCTCAGTTCGTGAGTTCGTCCCTTTTTTTCCTTCAAAAAAGTATATTATGTGAATTATTAGTCCGTGAAAGTATGAGTTATATACTATTGCAACTTGTGCATGTGCACCAGTGCATGTGACGACTTATTAATTTTTTTATGATTATGGAATAATTATTATTTGTGATTGGTTACCAGGAGGACATACTTTACATGATCTTATTAAAATCGGTTGCGTCTCCTCTCCTGAGTCCTGGCTTATCTTGAGAAGGTTTAAGAAATAAAAATATTTCCAAAGAATATTGGGCCTTATTATAATTTTTTATATTTCAGATCAATATACAAATGTTAATTCTATTCTATGTAGTCTTTCTTCTCAGATAAAATATTGTACTGCATTGCTAATATTCTAATTTTGATTTGACCTGTCAAAAAAATTTCATAATGCAAATTTTTTATTTTTTTAATAATAACACCGATGATTATTAATTGAGAATCATTTAATTAAAAACAAATCATCCGTATGTTGGAGCCTAGGCGGGCATCGGTTGCTTGGAGTCAGGGTTGGTTGGGTTAGGTTTCAAGTTGGAGCCCAATTCTCAGGAATTGGCTTAAGTTTTAAACATGAGGCCCAATTGACTTGAGCAAAACCTAATACAAGACTCCATCAAGTCAGCGGTCCTTGGTTGAACTGGGTCCAGAAGACTGAAAAGATCAAAAAGTGCCTCACACAAGGCTCAACGAGCTTGGGGAATGAAATTGAAAAGTAAATATACTGTACTACCTCGGTCCTAATTATAAGTAGTCTTATAATTAAGACGGAGGGAGTATTATTCATTTCAATAATAATAGTTTCAAACTAATACTGGAAAAAATAACCAAATTGGATGCATATAAAACCGATGCCCAAGGCAAGCTAAATTAATTATTAATTAGTTACTACTATTTTTCAGACAAGGGTTTCTTTATTTTGGCGGTAAAGTTGAAGGAGCGCAATTCCCTGGCGTGCAGTAACTAATTCTACAAGATCCTTATTTGCTCAGCGCCAAGCCTGGCCGGGAAAATTCCCTTTTCATAGACTCTGAATAATGTCTGTGTGAGAACATTCCCAGCGCACCTTCTGAATATCTTTAAGCGCAGACCTCAAAGGACCAGCACCGCGTCCTCCGAGTCAAATTCGATCACCACCGAGTTGTTATTTCTGGTATTAAGATTTTAAAAGTTGCAAAGCATATTGATTTCCAAGACCTCCACTCACATATTGCAAGTTGCAACAAATCCTAACTCGAGCAATCATTCCCCATAGGCATTTCATGCTATTGTTGCTTTAGAAAAAAATTGGAATCTTTCATTTGATTTCGGTTTTGATGTTCCGATCATGAAAATATATATAATTTACTTGCAATGCCGAAGGGTGGCTCCTATCAGGCTCACATGCTCACCTTGTTTGGCCAGCTTGCTAAATGTAGCAGCTCTCTTGGGAACGAATTCGAATGTCGAGATTGTATATGGCGATGAAGGAGTTGAGCGATGCTTTCTTTTTTGTCTGCTCATTAGAATTCTGGAGAATGTCCGTGTTGTGGACATTTTCGCTTATATTGTCATATTGGCAATTGTTTAAAGAATATGAGATTCTCAAATCCTATCCCAGATGTTCTCCTTCAACATCTCCTCGTCGGCCTGTTTGCGTCATCACTGGTGTAAGTGAAATTGGGCTTCATAATCTGCTCCAGCCATCTTTTTTTCCCTTTCCCTTTTTAAATTAAAAACCTAATGCTTGCTGCTTGCTTACTTACGAAATATCATTCTTTGGCTTGTGTAGGCAACATCTGGCCTGGGTGCTGCCACTGCTCTCGCCCTTTCAAAAGAAGGATATTTTGTTGTTATTGGTAATCCAATGCTCATTGCAATTCTCATTTACTTTAATGCTGGACGAGTTCTTTAAACCTGTTTTCATCTTTGTTGGCCTTACTTTAAGTGATAATGTCAAAAGGCATTGTTTAGCAATTGGAACCCCTTCTGTTTAACTTTTAGGCAGCCAATTAAATCAACTGAAAGGAGAGATTGGTCAACATAGTAGGGCCTATTGCCTTTAACTTGCACAACTTTGTGCCTAGGAAAACATGACTGGTACTGATGTCTCCTAAAGACCCCATCAAATGATTGAACTCCATGTAAAGATCACTTCCCTCATACTGCTTGTGTGCTAACCCTTACACTGATTTTGAAGCCTAACTACTTGACAAAATGCCTTCTGGAGTTTGCATGGTTTCATGCTGAATGAAATTTCGTCTTTGGAATTGGGAATTCAGAAAACAACCAAACTGGGATTAAACTGAATGCTATTTTGATTTTTTGATCGTGAGAATGAGTATTTGTTTGCTTCTCTAGTCATGCAAGTAGTTTATCTCTTTTGAACTGAGTAACTTGATTTTTAAGATTGTATACCTAAGATTCCAAATGTGGTTGCAGTTGGAAGATCACACCAGTTGTTATTGGAGGTATGTTTTCTAAATTATCAAGGTCATAGTAATTATGCCTCCATGCTTACTATTTTCTTATGAATTTTTCCATTGTTTGATAGACCATAAAAAAGATCAAAGATTGCAATGAAGATGCCAAAGTGAAAGCTTTCCAGGTTGATATGTCATCAATAAAGTCCATTGTGACGTTTAGGAAGTCCTTGCAGCACTGGCTTTTGGAATCCGACTTGCACTGCTCAGTTCAAATACTGATAAACAATGCTGGAATATTTGCAACATCACATAAAGTCACAGCTGAGGGATACGATCAGTAATAAACATTATTTCTCCTCCCATATTGCATCAAAGAATTCCATTATTAGAGTATGCAAGTGTTTCTGCGCAAAATTCACATGTTTTTGAGTGTCATCGATTCATATTATTGATTGTCTATGTTACTCTGTTTTTATGGCATCCTAGTTTCTTATATTCGCGGCATTCATCCTAAGAATCAATATATATATTTATGCTTGTCTCTCAGGATGATTGGTACAAATTATATAGGTGCTTTTGCTTTGACAAAGCTTCTATTACCACTTCTGGAAAGCAGCCCTGTAACTTCAAGAATTGTGAATGTGACATCCTTTACTCATCGAAGTGGTAAAAATATCATATAATCAATACTTCTTTGTATAACACAATTCCATGCAAGTTATTGTCTGGTGACTCCATGCTTTGGGTTTGTTTCTCATTTTGCACATTCGTAATCAAACACTCTGCAATTGCCTAGAGAATTTTCTAAGCTTAGTTTCGATTGTCACTTAGCTTGTCATATTATGCTGAAATTACTGTTATGAGTAACCAAACAACTTATTCCTGACATCATAATCCAACAGAAAAGGGAAAAAGTAAATCCTGTAGTATGAATGGATTCATGAAAGAACATGCTTTCAAGAGTTCAATGGACACTTAGTTCTGTTAATAATCTTAGCACCAGTTTCCTAACTAAAGTCTGATGGTTCTTGGTCATGAGTTGGTAGTTACCCGTCTTGATGTGGATTTGATGAAAGTTATCTCTTGCCCACTTGGTATGAATTCTTTTTAGTGCCTACTTATTTCATTCAAATCATACCTCTTTTTGAACCCCAAAAAAAAAAAACAAAAAGCCTCTTCAAGAATCGTTGAGCTTGTTAAATAAGTATGAGACAAAATAAACTATTTCGGAAATGCTTATCAATACTTTCAATGGTTGTGGTTGGTTGATTAGAATAGTATGGTTTCTTTGATATTTAGTTCGTCTACTGGGATTCTTGACCTTCTACCTATAATAGTCTTTCAAGGTGTTTGTGGAGCAAAAGATGGACTTATTAAAATATCCGTGGCACATAGATGCTTTATTATGACTGCTGGTTTTTTCTACAGTTAGTGATATACAGGTTGATGAGAAAACTGTTTCTGGGAGAAGATTTTTGGGCTCAAAACAATACCCATGCGCTCAAATTTATGAATACTCTAAATGTAAGCTGCCTGTTCTGGATGATTTTGTAAAGATTATCTTCATTACTCCTAATTAGTGTTTACCCTGTTGAAGTGTGCCTACTGCTCTTCTCCTATGAGCTTCATCGACAGCTTAGCTCAGTGGGTAAATCCTGTCACGTCTCTGTCATGTACGTAATTGCAGATTTGTTCTATTCCTTCCTACTGGTTTCTTATTTTAGGGCTATTATACCAACAAATTGTTGAAAGTTAATTCATATATGCACATATAATACTCAATTATCATGTTAGGATGCTCACATACCTGCCTTCTTGCGGCAAATTACTAGTTTAATGTTCTATCTTCTCACTTTTGGCTAAAACAATGTTCATCGTTTCTTGTCTGCCAATCTCCTGCCATGTATGAAACACGTGCATCAAGAAACTTTTAGTTCTATTTGGGCGTTAATCACATGTTGAGATCTGTTTTTGTGGCCTTGTGGACCTCGTTGCTTTAAATGATTGGGGTTAGATCGTAGTCTATGACGCCTATTGTTTTTACATTTTTATTTTTGGTTGTGTATCTGTTCAACTGAATCATTCAGTTTCTTCTGCGTTTTGCTTTATAGTGCTGTGGATCCTGGAGCTGTGCAAACCAACATAATGCGAGAAGTTCCTTCAATTCTATCTAGCTTGGCATTCAAACTCCTAGGAATGTTGGGCCTATTGCAAACCCCCGAATGTGGGATTAGCTCTATTATTGATGCAGCCCTTGCACCTCCAGTAAGTATTCTTTTAGGTGTATTTTATATGTAGAGGTTGTATAGCTTGTCCTGTTTATTTGTCTAATTTATCGAAGATGTACCATGAATGACTGGGACATCATTGCTCCAACTGCATTCTTATCTTCCCTCCCCCCCCGGGCCTGAGCACTCTTATCCTTCAAGAGCTTGCATAATACCATATACTCTTCCGGTCCTTAATATAGGACCCAATTGGTGAGTTGGTTTTGGTCCTAAATATAAGACCCATTTCTCATATTTATCAATTATCTCTAAATTATCCCTATGGATACCCTTTCAACCATAATCAAGTAGAAGAGAAAGATGAGATATTAAGAAATATGATTATGGTATTTTAGGAAAAACGTGTCATATTTCTTATAATTAACTAACTTACCTAACTTCCTTAATCTAATCAAATTAGTTAAATGGGTCTTATATTAAGGACCGGAAGAGTATGTATGTATGGGCCTTTTCTTCTCTTAATGCATGTAAATTAATTACTTGTAAACATGACAAAATATTACTTCATACCGTCTTTTTCACTCATATAGTTTAAAAAGGTGGCCCGGTTGATGGGCTCTGAAATGAACCACAAGATTATGCTGATTGAACAAGACAACTGCAATTTAATACGTGCTCCTTGCACACCGAATATGCTAATTGATATTTAAGTTTTCTTCAATCATCTCACCATTTGATTCCAGGAAGCATCAGGAGCGTACTTTTTTGGGGGGAAAGGCAGGATTATCAGCTCTTCAGAACTTTCACGAAACCCCAAATTAGGACGCCAACTCTGGGAAACCACATGTAATCTGTTATCGCATACCCCTTTTGGCTCTGAGGAAACAAAGATGCTAGCATCTGCCCTATCATGTACTAAGTGAACGAAAGATAGCATTCTTTAATTTTCTGAAAGCAGATGATGGAACAGATTTTGAATCCTTTGGAGCATGTGAGGTTGCAACACAAGGATTGAGAACGTAAACAGATCCATTTCATCCCTCTCCAGCTCCAAGAATTTAAATCCGGCATACCATACTTTGGATTAAGTTCTATGGATTTTAGCTCTTAGAAGCTAGTGGCATCATAGTTTTAGACATAATTTAGGTGTAGCTTTTCATCAAGTGCATCAATAAAATCATGATATGTGAATATTTTTATTGTTCAATACTCTTATATGATGGAGATTGATAATAAATAAAATATGTTGTGACGCTCTGGTAGTCTAGTCATTGCCGCGCATGAAGGCGTTGGCCACTAGGAGTTCTCAATGAGTTGCGCACTCAGAAAAAAATCACTTCTCACACTACAAAATAAAAGAGAAGTGAGGGGATATTTAATTTAAAGATGGTAACGAATCCACTCCCCGGGGGGCGGAGTTTCCAATCGTGTAGTGCTTCGAGCATTTCTGTTTGTGACAAATCGATCCAATAAGGTTGAAGATTGTTAGCTCATTAGTTTACCAGCGGTATGCTAAATCAACCAATCAAAATTGCTAAAGGGAATTTCAAAAAAATATTTTTAAATTTTAAAATTCTAAATCAGTTTTGCTCATGACCCTTTAATAATAATTGATAACATTTAAGAAATAAATGATAACGTATTTTTATAATCATTCTTGATTTAAAATTTTGAAAATTTAAAGTTATTTTTTTAAAAAATTTTCCAAAATTCTTTTTGGCAGTGTTTTTTTTTTCCCCGCAAGCTGTCAAAAAAAGCCTCTCAGATATTTTTTTAGCGTTAGCTACTTAACTTCAAAGAAAACCGCAGTCATTAAAAATCAGAGGGTCGATTTTATATTGTGCGTTGCGCTGTTCATAACATAATACTTCTTCGATCTTTAATATTAGACCTATTTAACTAATTTGATCAAATTAAAAAAATTAAATAAACTAGTTAATTATAAGTATATGGAAAATATGGCCTCTAATAATTTTCAAACTTCACATATAAAATCATACAAGTGATGGAAGTGGGTTGTGCTGAAGACTTGAATCAGGAAGGAGAGTTTAAGCTGAAATAGGGGGGAACTAGGCTTGGCCGGGTTTAGTTACGTGCCTATTTACACTTGGTTTCATTTTTTCTTACACTCCTACTGCCACCCGCATACATATAAAAATTAATTAGGATTAGATTTGATACTAAATATAAAATTTCAATTTATTTTATTTCTTAAATTTATAATTTTTCCCCTAAAATATTCCTATCGATTGTACATATTAAGAGGTTCCCAAGTAAAGGATAATTTTGATGCACATGATTAAAGGGATGTTTGAGATGTTGCAAAAGCACTTTCAAATAGTACTTTTACGTAATTTAAGACAAAACTCTTCTCATCTATTTATTTTGAATTCTGTAAAATCATTTTTAAAACAGTGATTTAACTAATACCCTCTAAAGAGGATTATTTAGTGAAATCAATTACAAATAATCAATTTAACTAATTTTTTAAATATTAACAAATTAACTATTTAACTCTTATATTAAGAATAAGAGTAATGATATAAAAAGAATAAAAGCAAGAAATTAAACTGTAGAGTCATAGTTACTACCCTTCTCTCTGCAATTCGCCTAATTAAAACAAGTCTCTCCTTTAAATAGACCCTATGAATTGATGAACTAATGCATGACTTTTTCTTAAACTTCCGCAGGGCAAATTCAAGGCTCAAACGTTAATCAATACCGTAATATAGAAGCGATATATATATATATATATATATATAGTTTTTATGTGTGTTTAGAGTAACTCAAATCAGCAGATTTATACAATTGAACTGAAGAAGGGGATATAATTGTTCAACCAGAGAGGAGTCTTGCGTTTTAGTGAACAGGAAAAAAATGCTAACACGGAAGCTGTAAAAGTGAGTGCGCAATAGAATCATATATAATAATTGTAACCTTGAAGTGAATATTTTTTAGAATATCTGCTCGCAATTTCCCCCACCTCCAAACAAGACTTTATGGAACATATTTAGTTCTTTACTGGAGCCATTGGGCCCGAGTAAATTTGATAAATTCTATGACGGGGGCTCAATGAAAATGATGATATTGAGATATTTCAATTTGTTCAGTCCATCCCTGTTAGGCCTCAAAAAATGAGGTTATTCGGACCAACTCGAAAAAGCTCGTTTTATTTATTTTTTTAGTATTTTTATAGCGGAGATAATGGAAAAAAATATAATTGAATATGAATTGATACTTCAATTAAAAAAAGCTAACTTCTTTCAAAATTGTGTCGCTTTTGTTTACAAGCGTGATCCAATATTTTCCATTAAATTTGAATTGCGCAATTTGTATGAAGCTTTTCTGTATCATAATCACCTTACAATGTGTCGATGGACTTGTCATTAGTTATGTGAAACGTGGGGATTTGTCATTTATTTAATATTTGCGTAGAAAGAAAAAAATTTGAAATATGCCTTTAATTTGAAAGTTGAAAATGGACATTTCGTTATTTTTAAAAATAAATAAATAATTTGGGATGAATAGAGTTGAGCTAGGGGTGTTGTCCCGTTATATTCGGGCTTATTCAAGAATTTCCAGCTATATATAATCTTTTACTACAGAGCACTATTCGTCAAGACGTAATTAAATTACAAAGCATTTTTGCTGGGATGGACACATATGTATGACACGCACAAATCTACTGGGAACCGTGTTATCCATAATGTAAATCATTTTCATTCCTATATAAAGACCAAGTATAAATTAATATATGTTTATATTTATGATTCATAGTGGTACAGTCTCTGCATATTTCTACATCAAAGAAAGTGATAAATGCTTGTTTGATAAGATTAATTAAGACAGAGATTCGCATACGTACTCTTACTAAACCTTACTCCATTTTTCTATCACATAATTATGTCGGCTTTCGATGCATTTTTTATGGGTCTGAATATCTAACAAGACTATTGTTTGGAATTAAATAATACTCCCCCGCTCATAAATATAAAACCTATCTTGTAGTGTAAATTACACTACAAAATGAGTCTTGTATTTAAAACAGTAGGAAGTACAAAGTTAATGAATCTATATACGTATTTTTTATGCAACTTTGATTATTGTCAAATCATTTTGGATTTAAAACTAATATCTATTGAGTTAGAAACATTAAAATTAATTAATATATGTATTTAAGTTAAAGCTCATGTTTGAATTGATTTTGTTCAGATCCAAAAGATATCTAAATAAAATACTGTAAGTGATGGGGAAATATTTCTAATAGTGGTAGTGATATGGTAAATATCTTGCCAACCCATTTTATAAATAAGGGGGCCACTTTAAGTGAAAACATATTGTGAAATATAAATCCAAATGACTTTTTCTTTTTCTTTTTTTTCAGTATATGTGTTATGTTTGAATAAAATATGCTTTAGTAATAAAATTATTACCAATCAAATTAAGTCTAACAGAAAGAACTAGTTTTTTAGAACAACATAGTAAATCAAGGTTGAAATCAAAACTTATTATATCTCTCTTCTCCCGGTAGTGTTTGTTTGTTGTTAACAAACTTTGGTTCATATTTATCAGGCCGTGTGTGTGTATATATCAAATTATGTTAAACATAAATTATAAATAACAAGACTTAATTTTTAGATTTGCGCAAGATTTCCTGCCTCGATTCATTGCATCGAACGATGTATTAATCATGTGATGTGTGCTACGTTTCTGGTCTGCGTTTTTGCTCTTCTAACCCCATCATTATTTGCCCATTTATTCTTTTGAGTTTTCTCGTGTCAGATACGCTCTGAATATTTTTCATCTCTGACCAAATATATCTCCTACTGAAATTTCAAATGCTTAATTACTCAATCTATTTTTAAGTGGCTGATCTTCAAATTTGATTATATACTGTTCACTGATTCATTGAGAATTATTGTGACTACTAATAAACATTTTGGGAATAACAAGTTGCCTCACAATGTACGTATCTAGTACTCCTCCGATCCTTAATATAAGGCCCATTTAACTAATTTGATTATATTAAGGAAATTAGGTAAGTTAGTTAATTATAAAAAAAGTAACACATTTTTCCTAAAACACTATAATCATCTTTCTTAATACTCATATCCCTTTTCTACTTGATTATGGTTGAGGGAGTATCCATAGGGGTAATTTAGAGAAAATTGATAAATATGAAAAATGGGTCTAATATTTAGGACCAAAACCAACTCAAGAATTGGGTCCTATATTAAGGACCGGAGGAGTACATGATTACAAGGGTGTTTGGGCATAGTTTCAAAAGTGTTTTTCCGGTATACGAAGTAAATATATATAAAAGTTTATCTCGATTTGTAAAAAAATGCTTTTAGAGTTACCCAAATACTCCCTACATCTTATGCAGCGCAGTGCATGCATGCGAATGAGAATGTAATGATTATTCCAAGATAAATGAATTATTATATCTGATTAATTATAAAACCTCATTTGTAATCTATAATGTATTATAATCAGGACCGTGAGTAGTACTACATACTACTTCTATTCCTAATTATAAGAGCCAGTTGACAAATTTGAGGAGATTAAGAAAGTAAGTTGAGTTAGTTATTTGTCCTAAATAGGTGTTGTCTTTCCTAAAATATTCTTGCTAATCAAGTGTATTGACTAAAACTATCATTGTTAAAATGACTACTTTGGAAAAAAAAAAGTATAAATATGAGAGACAAAGTGGATTAGGGTCTTATATTTAGGACCAAAATAAAAGTCAAATGGGATCTTATATTAAGGACAGGAGGTAGTATAAAATTATCATGGCCATATACATGTACGTACCCTCAATCCCATTGAGAACATTACGACACGTTTCAAACAAAAAGGAAGTTTTCAGCTTTGCAAGGCCAATTTAAGCAACTCATTCAAATGATTAGGCGACTGTTTCTCCCTTTTTATGTTAAGGGATCATAAACACTTTCATGCACACTGGTACATAACTTTCAACACTTTCATGCACACTGGTACATAACTTTCTTCTTATGTTTATCTCATATTTTATAAATTATAATTAACAATGCTGTTTTTAAATAATTTAATTACAATTCTAAACAAACCTTAAAATGTCTTGTGGATGCCTGTAAAGTAAAGCGATGGAAAAAAAGATTCATATATATATATATTATATATATATTCTTTTACATTTATATATTTACATATTTAAAAAGAGAACAATGTATTAAATCCGATTTAAATATAAAAACTAGTTAAAAAGTTGTTTTAAATATAAGATTATATATATTAATTTTTTTAATACAAATTATTTAAGAGATGCGTGCGACAACAATTCCAAAATTTCGTTTTTCTAAAAGCAAAATACTACTTTGAGTTCTTAATATAAGAACTTGTTTGACTTTTATGTTAGTCTTAAATATAAGATCCTAATTTCTTAAATTTATTTTTTTAAAATAGTTTTTGTAATAATGTTAGTTCTAACCAATATATTAATTAGTAAGAATTCTACGTGAAAAACAGCATCTATGTATTAAAAATAATTACCTTAATTAATTTTTTAAATCTACTCAAATTTGTCAATTAGCTCATATATTAAAAACTGGATATATTATTAAATTTGAGTTGTGTGTTTACTTTCATATAATTATACCCATCTCAAATAAGGAAGATTGAGCATGTCCTTTTTTTTTAAATAAAATTTTTTTGGCCAAAGAATCAAGCATCGAGCATCTATTGGCAATAATTAAGAGGTTTATAACCATTCTCAATCTTAAATAGAAATGATTTTTTCAGCATAAATTTTCACCTTAGCTTGAATTTGAAACCTCATTCAATGGGTATTGACGGTCAAGTACTATTCATTATTTTTTATAATGCATTATATTTTTTTAATGAAATATAATGCACTGTATATATTTGTAAATGCACGAATTTGGATTGAATAAAGGTGTAGTGGCCGGTATACCTTTGCAGTTATTAAAATATAGACGGGATGAGTTTCTATATGTACATTTCATAATTATAATTATACTCTTATCCTTAATATAAGATATAATTAAAAAGTTGATATTAGTCATATGGTTATCAATTTTTTTTAAAATTAAACTTATTGATATTCTTTTAACAACAATCAAATAAAAAAAGAAAAAAAAAGATACTTATGACATTTTAAAAAGAACATATCATATTAACTAATTTAACTGATATTTTAAATTTATTTAAAATTAATTATTTAGATTTTATATTAACCATACGAAGGGTATTATAGAATTTTCGGGCAGAGTTGCCTGAGAAAAATCCTCAGCAGGGATAGGGCGGGCGAGTGCTAACGTGGCACGTTGTGATTGCAATGAGGAAAGCTACACAGAAGCTGGGGGAGTAGAGGATAACACAAAGCACACAATAAAAACACAAGAAGACTAGCAGCCTGCCACGTTGCCATCGCTCTTGGGTGCCATGAAGTTCACTCAAAAAGCCATCTCCTCACTTTCTTCTGCTTTTGCCAATCTCACTCTCTCTCTTTCCCTGAAACTCTCTTAGGGTTTCAAATTCCCGTTTAGTATCTGTTCTTTGATTCCTTTAACTTTTTAACGTTTTCTTGATTCGGATCATCCATTTGAATAGTATCAATGTCTTTTTCGGCTCATTTGATCCGATCCGGTTCGTCGCCCAGCTGAGCGTTCTGACTCAAGCCACAAATGCCTTGTTATCTGGGAATATCTCATTGAATTGCTTTTGGAAGCGGTCCACTAGTCTCTTCTGGTCGATTATTTGAATGTTTAAAGTGGCTTGCACAGTGTAAGATTTGACGGATTTCGGTTCCTTTGCTCATCATTTTTGCTTTTCTTGCCGTAGTGGGTTTTCTTCTTTCCTTCTTTTCCCTTCTTATCTCTCTAAGGTGATTAAATTCACTTAATGAGAGTTTTATAGGCTGGATAATGATTATTTTCGCACAATTCACTCCCATTTTGTAGCTGTATAAGTAATTTACACGTGAGTAACGGCAGAGGGATTTTACTTCGTTCAGTTTTTAGTATTTACTCGGTGAATCAATCCATTGTTTTTCTTTAAAGAAAAGAAACGTTTTCTTCCCTGTACTGTTCAATTATTCGTGAGAATCTTTGGTATGATATAGTAATTTTCTGTATGATGCTAGACAGATAAGTACACAAGATCTGGCGTTGAATTGCCAGTTTAGTCGTTTAGATGGTTTACAGCAGTTGTATAAGGTCTTTGGTTGTTCAAGTTCGATCCTTCACCAATAAAGTGCAATTCTACAACATTGTGAGAAGTTTGCATAAAGTTCCCTCCATTACTTATTCGTGGAATCGTGGATTTAAGACAAGCATAGGGATGATGGTTAATACAGGTGTTATGTCAAACCCGGGACCCATTGTTGATATGTTGGCAGAGAAAGATGATGACGGTGGGTTTGCCAGCGGAGGGTGGAAAAGGTGATTATTTATTTGCAATTTCCTTTGTTGAGCGTTTCGAAGGTAATTCTTGTTGATGTTTTCTTTTACTTCTCTCATTTGATTCTGTCTTTTCTCACACAAATTAAAGCAAAGAAAAGGACAGAGCTCTAAGGTCCATTATTCCATTGGAAGGTCGTCGTTTGTCTTTATAGCAGAAGCCTATATTAGATGGGATCTTGTGCATTATTTTATGGTGGGGAATAAATGTATATCGCCCCCCGCTGTGGTTATTTCCTCAACTGAATTCATCTTCATTCGTCCAGATTGGCTGATCAATCAATATGAAACTGTTTGGTAGGGTTTTTAGTAATGAATGGAGTTGATGAATGTCTTTAATATGCCTGGGTGGCTGGCTATGGTCTTGTTCCCTATTCTTTACCTCGTTTTATCATGTTATCAGATCAATCTTATGCAATTGCTTTTTTAATTGGCAGTGAAGATGGAAGACTTAGCTGTGGGTATTCAAGTTTTAGAGGAAAAAGGGTGACCATGGAGGATTTTTATGATATTAAGATATCTAATATTGATGGACGTTCGGTATGCTTGTTCGGAATATTTGACGGTAAGATTTTCCATTGTCATTTTTTTTTTAGGTGAACTTCCGTTGTCATGCTTTGCTGGGGAGAAATTTACCTATTTCTTCTTCTTCTTCTTGCCTTACATTATCAAATCTTCCTACTTAGTTCTATGCCCAATACAAGTTGTATCTTGGTAATTATTTTATAGTTTTCATGTTATTTTGCATATGGCTGAATTGGCAATTTTTTGAGCATCCCTGTTGTCTAGCCTCCCATATAATTGCTGAAGCTTTGTCATGTTACGCCGATTGACGTGATCACTCACTAAGAATAACCTCATGAATTCAGGACACAGCACAGGGTAATTAAATCAGACGTGTTTAATTAGGTTCGGATAATTTAATGTTTTACACATTTTTTTGGCTTCATGCTAATAATTCTTCAGCTTTTAGGTAAGCATAATTATATCTCCCCAAGAAATGAAGTCGCAAATCCGTAGTGCAGAAGGTCTGAAAGTCAGAGACTAAAAGTTGTTATTTGTATCATCTCCTCTAAAACAAAAGCAGGGATAAAAGTCGAGATAAAAAATAAAAACAAAGCCCTGGTGTTAATTGCTATTTGGGTGCATGTTTATTTGATTACTGATATGGGTGTTTGTAAACGATCATCTGTCTGTTGTTATGATAATATGACTTCTGCTGTTGGCATAGTTTCTTTTAATATTTCTATTTCAAATTTTCATTCAGGTCATGGTGGTTCTCGTGCTGCTGAGTATTTGAAGGAGCATCTCTTCAATAACCTCATGAAGCATCCAAAATTTTTGACTGATACTAAATTGGCTATAAGTGTGTTCTCATTCTCTTTTTCGCTACTATTATGCACTACTCCTTCTAGTATCGGAAAAATATTGTGCATAATTTTTTGGATCCAACATTGGTGGAAATCTTTTTGATTAAGCATCCATTGAGTGATGGATAAATTTTTTTACATGGCTTGGGCTCCTGCATGTGGGTTATTTTCCGACATCTGTTTGGGATCATAGTAACTTACGTAAGCTTGCAGGTGAAACTTATCAACAGACTGATGCTGATTTTCTGGATTCTGAAAGGGATACTTTCCGGGATGATGGTTCTACAGCTTCAACTGCAGTTTTGGTTGATAACCATCTTTATGTTGCCAATGTTGGAGATTCTAGGACCATAATATCCAAAGCTGGTAAAGGTATTGTTGAGATGCCCTATAATATTTTGATATCTGCAGGTTATAGTAGTTCTGGATTAAGCAGGACTTTTCATATCTTAATGATTTGATTGCTGGAAAAGGAAACTAGTAATATAGAGTTTACATGGAAATCAAAGTATTTCTGAAAATGGTTTCCATGCTTACTAATCCTCTATCACTTGTTTATTGACTTTCCTATTCACTTTGTGTGAATGCATGTTGATATTGGAGTATGACAGGGACCTCTTAATCTTGTCCTCTTGTTTTTGACAGCCATAGCTCTCTCTGAGGATCATAAGCCAAATAGAACTGATGAGCGGAAGAGAATTGAGAATGCTGGGGGTGTTATAATGTGGGCAGGTAGTGTATGTCTCCTGAAACGAAGGAATTATTGTCTAAGTTCGTTATATTTAAAATTTGCTTCGAGCACATCTGCAATAGTTGTGGGTAACTATTTTATGGTATTTTCATTGGTTATATTTAGTCAAAGTTGATATTCAAATTAATATGGTGTCCCATATTGGATGCACTTACTGTTTTTATCTTGGGATATTAGAATGGAGTCTTTGTTGACATATACTAATATGCATGGAGTGTTATGTTTTGGCTGATTGATATGCCAAATAGAGTGCTCACTATATATTATTGATCCTACATTATGTGGATGCATGGAAATATATAAAAGCTAGCCCTCTTTTATTAATTATCAACATATCATAATAAAACTGAATCTTTTGCTATTTTAGAATTCGTGCAGATTTATTGTTTACCTGCCTGCATTTAGATTCAAATTTTGTGCATTGCAACAGGGTAATGCTACTTTTCCTAAATAGTTAACTCATGGCTTCAAGAAGATAGAAGATTTTAGTCACATCTTTAATTGTTTAAGTGGCCCTTGGATGGTAACGAAGTGATTCAAAGTATACTGGGCTTCAGGAATAATTTTTCCTATGCATCAGCTTTTCCATGTCTACTAACATAGAACGGTAGATAAAGTAGAGATACGGCATTTGCTTAATATATATATATATATATATATATGTATGTATGTATATCCCTTTTCCTTTGGACCTGACCACTCATCCAAGAGATGGAATTGGCAACGTGGAGGGTGTTCTGATATAATCTGGCATATCGTGGATGTTCATGTATTGAAGTAGTTATTTCATGGAAGCAGATATTTACATTTCTTTGTTTGCTGATAGGTACTTGGAGGGTAGGAGGAGTGCTAGCAATGTCCCGTGCTTTTGGTAACCGTATGCTGAAGCAGTTTGTTGTGGCAGAACCAGAGATCCAGGTGAACCTTGGTTATGTTACTTTATTGATTGCTCTAAATGATTCACAAAAGTACCCCCCCCTCAATTGATGCTTGGGAAAGTCTGACAGAAACCCCTAACTTTCTAGTTTCATGGTGGAATTCCTTAGCCCCAAAAAAAAATATTATTTCTGTTTCAGTTTTGGGTATTGAATTGTATATAATGATTGCAACGAGAGATGAGGAACTTGAATGTAACTCGGATAGGGTTGGATCTTATGGGAGATGCCATGCTTTTAAAAAAACTAAACAGATTTGCCTGTCGCAACTTGCAGCTGTGTTTTTGCATTTGAAAGTTTGCATGTCTGGGGACTAGTCAGATACCCTGAATATGTTGACATTCTATCTGTTTCTTTGCCACTTTCAGGAACAGGTAATAGATGAAGAGCTGGAGTTGCTGTTACTTGCAAGTGATGGGCTATGGGATGTGGTACCAAATGACGTGAGCTCCATTTCCCCTCTTCTGTCGGTCTCGTTATACTCTCACGTCAACATCTTTACTGATATACAACCTTTGTACAGGACGCTGCTTCTCTTGCCCGTGCTGAAGATGAACCGGAAGCAGCTGCTCGTAGGCTAACTGAAGCCGCTTTTAGTCGGGGTAGTGCAGATAACATTACATGCATTGTGGTGCGCTTCCATCATGATAAAACAAACCCAGCTAATTCTGAGGAAGCGGGTCCAGGATCCAGCTAGCATCCAGCATGTCTTAAAGTTAAATGAACAGGCTTGGCTCTCTCTCTCTGCACATGCACTAGTGACTGACTGGGCATGCCAACCTGCGATTTGTTTATTCATTGCTTTTGTAATCTTAAGTCACTCTTGCATCTAATCACGGTCTCCTGGAAACTGATTCTCCAGCATTTGTTCATATGTTTTCCAGTCAACGGTTTGTAGAGGCACCGTTTGGTATTTTTCTTCTGATTCAATAAATGCGCCGTGCATTATTTCGGTGAGTGGAATTTTCTCCTTTTTTTGGTTTTCGGCTATGTTGGATTTATGCACTTCAATGCAGAGGATGATGCGAACAAGACACATTTTATTCGGGTGAAAAAAAAAGAATAATATTATAAGAGTTAGTTTGATTTTCAATTTAGTTTTAAATATAAGATCCTAATATATTTTGTTTTTATTTATTTATTTTTTCAAAATGGTTCTTGTAGTAGTTACACATATTAAATATTTTATTAAATGGTAGTTTTAATTAATATATATGATTAACAAAGATATTTTAAAAAAAATTATATGTATTTATTATAAATAATTAATTGAACAATTTTTTTTAATCTATTCAAGTTAATTAATTAACTAATTTTTATATTAAGTACATTGTTTTTTTTTGCTGACTTCACTCTGCGGAGGGCGACGAGCATGACCGACTAGAGATTTATTCGTTCATTTTTGTTTTCGCCTCCCATTTAGCACAGTCAGGCGATGTTAATTTATAAGGGAAAAGGTATACAATAATTTTATGCCAAGTTCAGTCAACCCATGAAATTTGTTGGCTACTGATTTGTGTAGGAACAACAAATTTTTCTTTGTTTACTTGTTAATCATCTGTTACCTCATATTTTTAAAACCTAATTGACTAATTTAAGAACATTGGAAAAAATTAAAAAATTATTTAATTTTTTTCTTGTTATAAGTTTCAAATAATTAGTTTTTAGACAAAAAATGATTAGTTAAGATTAATTAAAAACATTAAACAGGTTAGAGAAAAATCATGAAAAAGAATTATGGAAAAATATGATGAGAAAGAATAAATAATTAATAGTAAAATTAGAAAAAATACATTAAATATTAAGACAAATCTAAATAGAAGACAAGCTGTATTTTTTTTAAAATTTAAAACTTATAAATAGGAATGGAAGAAATATAACATATGTTATATAATCTTTTTGAGATAAATATATGTATTATGAGATTATATATCATCCTATAAGTCATAGAAATTAGTTTAGAGAAGAACAATAAATATAATATTTTAAAATAATTTATTTAACTTCCTTAATTTTTAATCTTCTCAAATTTGTTAACTAAGTTTTATATTAAGTATTAGAGGTTGCATCCAATGATTTCAAACGGGTTAATACAATTTTTCATCTTCTAAATTTGCTTTTAATTTTTGTTTTGATTTCTCAAATTCTAAATCATAGATTTTTGTTTCTCAATTTTTTATCATTTAAAATATTAGTCCTTATAACGTAACAAAAATCTGGACTATTTTGCTTTTTAAAGAAATCAAAATCTATAATTTGAAATTTAAAAAGCTAAAATCAAAATAATTGTAAAGTTGGAAATCAAATATTATATTAACCCATTTTAAATGGTCATGATGTGGGAATCTTAGTATAATCGTCACTCAGTAATGGATAATCGGGGTAAGCAGTAAGTTCACATTCCAGTACGTATCGTGCCTCTCTAGTCTCAAGGCTGTGCAAGTTCGACTTATAACGTTTAATTCCATCCACAAAACCAATCAAGGCCATAGAATTTTTATTGCAATCAGATATTGGCCTCTTATTGACGTTTCACTTGAAGGGGATAAAAAAAAGGTAATCATTTGAGTCGTGAGTTTAATAATGAATTATGTCGAGGTTTTACGATGTGATGGATCACTTGTTGAGGAAAGATCTACTATGTATAGTCAAATAATAAAATGGATAGAGAATCACTGCACTTGTCAACTCTGGAAACAAATAGACCAAACCTATCAAAATTAGTTAGAAGTTAGAATAGATTCCACATGTGAGAAACCATGGCCTAATCAAGATTAATGGCGGGCTATTAATGTTTCCTAGCACATTAGATGGCTCGAAATCCTTGATCCTACTCACATATATTCTCACTCTAATTTATTATTTGAAGCAACGGAATATTCTAACATTAGTGATCACATAAATTTCTAGGAAAACATTAATATAATGCTGATAAAATGCATGAGAAGGGATTCAGATTTTCATCTCAAATCCGAGTATATAGGGATCAAACAATGGTCAGAGATCTATCTCACCAATGTGACGTTCACGTGGAAGACCAGAAAGGGGAGAAAATATATGACTCTAATAACAATTTCAGTTATGTGTGATGTAACGTAATAAGGAAAAGATGATGTTAGGTTTAAGATTTTCAGTTGAATTTCAGTTGAATTGTGTGAACTAGTACATTTGTACTAAAAAGTACAGAGGTATTTGTAAATTTCTAGAAAAATGTCATTAAGCTATAAAATTTTTTGTATCTTTTAATAATGGACAAGGCAATATTTGACCATTTGCAGCAAATCCAGACTCAAGGGTTAAAAGTTAACCCTGGTTAAGGCTTGGGTTACACCTCCTTGTATTAAAAAAGGGCCATCAGGGTTAACATTAAATGAGGAGGGGAAAAAAAAAGGAATTATATATAACCAGCTCCATACTTACTTTCCCTTGTATTTTTCTATTTTCTTTTTCTCAAGTATTTTGTGGCAAACAGATTCTTCTTAGTTTCTCGAGCCTTTTTACAGATTAGTCATTGTACATGGTGACAGTCGTCTCAGATTCAAGTTGCTTAGCGTTACATCCTCTCTCCTACTAGGTAATTTTACTTATTCATTAGTTCTATCATTGTTGGTCGTCAAAAGATTGTCTTCCAAATTAAATCGTTCGTTAGATCTGGGATATATCAAACTCTAGGGTTTCAGTTCATGGTACTGAATTGCTGAATTCAAATTTGTTTCGACCGTTATAAATTATTTGAAATGCATATTGCTGTAGATCCTGGGCGTGCATCAGCTGACTTCGAGTTCGAATTTAGTGTCCGGAAAGAGGTAATTTCTGAACATTACCACTGGGTTGCTTACCACTTCTCTCCTTTTTTCTTTCTTTGGTATTTCGTGCAAGAATTTTTATGGAGATACATGAAGAAGAAAATTTAGCTTATGAATTTCGCATCATTTCTGTGCTTATATGGCCATGAATTATAGTTTTCGATTCGCTATGATCGTGATTTTGGATGATTTCCCACTATGAATTCTGCGATTTTGATGTAACTTCTGAAGGGTCAAATTTCGTACTCTTAATTTGTGACGATTTATAATTACGCTAGCTTCTGAGGTTATGAAACTAAGTGTTGTATAGGGTCCAGAGAAAATTCCCCACTATATGAATTGAGTTTCCAAACCGCTATTAATGAATGCCTTGCGCAGTCTCTCTTCTTATTTTACTGAAACAGAGCTGTCCAGACATGGCAATTTTTTAATTAACGAGAGAAAATTTATTGATATATTGGCCGCTATTTTCCCCATTCTCACAGAATGAGTACCTACCAATAACACGAAAAAATGCTCCTTTTTGCATTTGACATTTCTTGTTTTCACTTTGTTTTCAGAAATCAAAACTACGATATATGAAATATCGTGCGTTAGGGCGACGATGTGGGGAAACCCCCCCTTCCTTTTGGAAATTTCTTGCTTTATATATATCTTCTGGAAGAGTCATTTCTGAGTACGAGATCCAACAGATCTTATATTGAATAATCCCCCCCCCCCCAATTGGCTGTTAATGCTTTTCTTTGCTAGTCTTTTTTTTTTGGGACCGATTTTCTTTACTAGTCATTACTTCCAAGATGTTTAAGCTTAGCCCAATTGGATAAGCCCTTTGAGGGCATTGCTTTATGTTTGTTTCTAAGCTGTTTAAATTTGCATGAGTAATGCATATTCTAGGAGGGAAGAATTTTGTATCAAGAGCTTGTATGATTCTTTTGAATTACCTTATTTATAAACTTCTTGGAAACATGCATTTGCAATTTGTAGTAATAAACCAACTGTAGCATGGCTAGAAATATGATTTGAAATGAAGCTTCACTGTGGGATATATTCTAAAGTTTATTTGAAAGCGACCAAGTGTAAATTTTCACTGAAGCCGTTTGTTTTTCATAGGATCTTCCCCCCTTGTCGCACCTACCTGTGCTGCCTGCACTACAGGACCTTAGTCAGGAGCAGCATGTAATAAGCATCACCCATCATAGAATATTAATTTTTTATTTAGAATTAAAATTTAATGGATTATTTGATCTAGCTTTGTAGCTGTACAATTCAACACTTTTTCTGTTGAAACAAGATGCTGGTATAATAGTGTCTTCGGAAGTAGATGGTAACTTTTAATAGTTAAAAAAAAAGGAGTAATCTAAGTGGAACCTTATTTGGTTAGCCAAGTTCCTTTTAATCATCAATTAGTCAAGCAGAAGGATAATAGAACCGGGAAAAGCTCAACTTACTATATTTATTTTTTAATTAAAAGGTAAGTTTCCAAGATAGGACTGAATGGACTGGATTGCAATCCTAATGTAATCCTAGTAGATTTTAGATCTTATATATGATTGGAATTGATTGCTATGTGTAGGATCATAAGATTGTGCAATCTTAGTGTCAAGATTGAGATCTTGACAACTTGTAGTTCTACTTCTAACAATTCTCTCTAGCAGCATAATATTTAAACTCCTACTTGTTACAGACAAATCCCAGGTGAATTAAAAGCAAAACACATGTAGACCTAGAAACCTGAATGCCATGACAAAAGTAACATGGTTGCACAACCATAATTCAAGAATCTGAGTAATTAGCACTTCCTACAATGACATCCTTGACAGGCAAATAGCTCCCAGAATGCTCCCATAAGTAACATATTTACATTCTTCAAGGATTACTTATGAATCTCTGATGTGAGACTCCATTATCTTGTCATTTTCTTTTAGTATAGGATAACTGCTTGCCAACTCACTTGATTCCATTTCCTGGTCTATTTTTATGTTATGATAGCCAGGATATCAGCAGCTTTTCATGTCTGTAAATTTGATTTAACAACACTAGCTGTAGTCAGTTTTAAATCCTGGCACATGATTAGACGTTCAGTGAAATAATACATGGCAGGACTCTCCAAGTCTAGAATGATATTCAAAAGATAGCAAATACTGCCAGAATATGATCTAAGCAGCTATAAATAATGAAAATAAGCTTACTCCCATAGCATTTTAGGGGCTAGAGTCTGACCCCAACAACACTAACTGATTGCCTATCCTCTTTGAACCGAAGTCCCCAAATATACAAAACTCATAGTCCTTCTCTCTCACACTGACACGTCACACATTAGCCCAATAGTTAACACCTCAGACCATTAGCTATGGGTCAAGGTCATCACAGTCTCCATGTTAGTACTTTCTCGTTTTCTACATGAATTTTATCAAGTTTAATGTAACATTTGTTATTTGGATATTCACATAAGATGTGGACATTTTATCTTGTGCTTGTATTAACTTCTTAGTAGATACCTTTAATTTGTTATTTTCCTTTAATTTTAATTTCAATGAGTGACATGTCTGATTTTCTTTCTCCTTCAGGTACAAGATTTTAGGGCTTCAGTCAATCAAAGGTGGTATGGTATAGAATCCAATGCTTAGTCGAAGTCCTGCCTTCTTTTAGCTAGGCGGGAAAGAAGTACATCAATTGCTGAGGAAGGAACATGATGGATTGCAACAAGGATGAGGCTGTTAGGGCCAAGGAAATAGCAGAGAAGAAATTTTCAGACAGGGAATATGCTGGTGCTAAGAAGTTTGCTCTCAAGGCTCTAAATTTATATCCTGCACTGGATGGTCTTTCACAGTTTTTGACCAACCTTGATGTTTATATCTCTGCTGAGAATAAAGTTAGTGGAGAAATGGATTGGTATGGTATACTGGGAGTGAACCCCTTTGATGATGAAGAGACAGTTAGAAAACAGTACAGGAAGCTGGCTCTCACTCTTCACCCGGATAAAAACAAGTCTTTAGGTGCAGAGGGTGCATTTAAGCTGGTTTCAGAGGCATGGAGTTTGTTGTCAGATAAAACCAAGAGACTAGAATATAACCTGAAGAGGAGTTTGAAAGGTTTTCAACATAAAACACCTAACCATGCTGGATCTCAATCAGAAGTACCTGGTTCAAATGGTTTTTATAATCTTAACAAGAATGTAACTTCAAATGTGAGGGCTGGAAATAGTAATTCCCAGGCACGCCATGGCTCGGCTCCTCGTCCACAGAAGAAGGCTGACACCTTTTGGACTATTTGTAATCGATGCAGGACTCATTATGAATACCTTAGGGTTTATTTGAATCATAGACTTCTATGTCCCAATTGTAATGAGGCTTTCTTGGCTATAGAGAAGGAGCCACCTCCCAACTATTTCAAATCAGCAAATTGGTCTTCTCGCCAGCAGCATCAAAGTTCTCGACATCACGCTTCAAGTAATAATCAAGCTAATGCTGGAAAAAACTTTACAGTTTCTCAAAATTCAGAAGCCATTGGTACTTCAGGCATGTCGTCATATGGTAAAGCAAGTTATCAATGGGGTCCTCACTCTAGCATGGCTGGTTTTGGTGGTATGGATGGATCATCGTCTGTTGCTGCTCAAGCTGCAAGTGTTGTGCAGCAGGCTAGTGAGAAAGTCAGAAGGGAACGTGAGGGAGCACCGTCAATTGCTGAATGGGAGAGGAGTCAAATGTCTAAGAGGACTGATGGTTCTTTTCATAAAGGGGAGAAATCTTGGAAGAAGAGAAGGACAGATGATATCGGTATGAATGGTATTAAAGGATACATGGCAAACCATATGACCGCGGGACAAGGAGCAGCTGGTATGGGATATGCTTCTGATTTGAGAAAAGCTAACTGGGAAACTGAAAGAAGCTATGGTTTCTCAGGCATGAAGCCTAACAGTACGAGAGAGTTGTCATTGTTTGAAATCCGAAATATGTTGGTGGATAAAGCACAAAGTGAAATTCGCAAGAAACTTGAAGAATGGAAATTGGTGGCGCAATCTAAGATCACAAGCAAGTCCAAAGAGAATAAGAAACAAAAAAGCACATTGACTGCTAAAACATCTGATTCGAAGAAGCATAAAGACTCCATTCTTGATAATAGCTGTCATGTAGAAGGTGATTCTTTCCCTGTCACATCTGATAATACCGTTAAGGAGGATCAATCCTACATCATAATGAATGTTCCAGACCCTGATTTCCACAATTTTGACGTGGATAGAACTGAGAATGCCTTTGCTGAGGACCAGGTATGGGCTGCTTATGATGATGATGACGGAATGCCTCGTTATTATGCTCGGATTCACAAGGTGATATCCATGGAGCCATTTAGAATGCGAATCAGCTGGCTTAACTCTAGAAGCAACAGTGAATTGGGTCCCATAGATTGGATAGGTGCTGGATTTACTAAAACTTGTGGGGACTTTAGGACTGGCAGGCATGAAATCACTGAGTCATTAAATTCATTCTCACACATGGTTAGGTGGACAAAAGGCAACAGAGGAGTCATTCGTATCTTTCCGCTGAAAGGGCAAGTCTGGGCTCTTTATAAGGACTGGTCTCCCGATTGGAATGAACAGACTCCAGATGAAGTGATACACAAATATGATATGGTGGAGGTGCTTGAAGATTTTGACGAGGAGCTCGGGATATTAGTTGCGCCGTTGATTAAGCTTCGGGATTTCAGGACTGTGTTTAGAAGGCATGCTGACCCTGATCGGGTGACGAGGATTCCTAAAGGGGAGATGTTTCGCTTTTCTCACCAGGTTCCTAATTACATGCTTACAGGCGAAGAAGCTAATAATGCTCCAAAGGGTTGTCGAGAGTTGGATCCAGCAGCTACACCTTTAGACCTTCTTCAAGCCACTATGGAATCTAATGAGGGATTGGGTGCTAAAAGGCTTGATGAAGACGCTTTGCCCAATTCAACTGAAACGGAGAAAGCTTCAGATACAAGAGGAGCGGATCAGTTGAACGAGATTTTTACATAGCAAAGGTTGATAGATGACTCCACACAAAATAGAAAAGCAAGTTAAGGTGACGGATGATGCAAATAGGCTTAAAAAATTAAATTGAACATTGATGAAATTACACCCTCTTAGTTGAATCTTGATTTTGTAAGCTTCACCCGGATAATCCATAGTGCTTTTTTTGGTTCATAATTCGATCAAAGGGATCCACAGCTTCTGTTTTCAAACAGCTTCTTCCGTTTGGCTGTACAACTTTGAGAATGTTATTTGTAGACTTGTTTATGTCCATAGTCAAAGGTCAATGTGTCCATTCCGCAGGCAACAAGATTTAAATTATGATGTCACTTAGTGACAACTTCTTTCCTGTGAGATCTGCTGAGCTCCATTAGTATCAGATTGATAGATTCATTTCCCAAATTGCAGCTTCGCGCCCAACGCGAAAATGCGATGCGGCGCGGGAAGATGCACTGAGTTGTTTTGTTTCTGAAGTTCCCGTTTTCCGTTAAATTTCACATGTGCTAATATGATTCTGCATGCGGCATTTATATAATTAATGTTAATTCCGTGGCTGTTGGTGAGGTCGCATATGTTGATTTTTCAGAATATAGGCTATCGATATAGAGAGATAATCAATTCTTGGTTTGATGCTCCATCTGGACATTCCACCGCTAATGAAAACATCCACAATCTTTGTTATAAATGAAGCACCAATAATATTTAATTTTCTTCAATATTAGCTGTCCATCCAACTGCCTACTGCCAGTTATTGATTATTCTTCTAGTCCTATTTATAAGGTATTTTTAATATGTTTCACACGAATAAAGAAAAACCTTAAACTTTATTATCTCTCATTTAAATTTCAATAACTTTTTAACTTTATCCCTATTGAATATATATTATACCTTATGTAAACAAAGTCAACATAATAATAAATGAAAGATAAAATTATACATTAATACAAAAAAATTTTCTCAATACCCTATAAATAGGACCAAAAAAATATTTTCTCTGTATCCTATAAATAGAACCGGAGGAGTAGAACGTAGATATTGGGCATTTTCATGAGGTTAAGCCAGAGACACAGCTTAACTAACTAGATTCAGGTGGGTGTTCAGAACCTCCTGACTGGTGCTTGAGGATGTTACACCAAGATTTAGAGGAAGCTATTGGGAATGTTAACCCAGACTAGTAGTTAGACACTTTCTTTTTGTATCAAGCTTAGCTTGTCTTGTTATTCCAAAAAAAAATTCAAGTGGGTGTTTGGATTCCTTCAGAAATGCTCTTTAAAAACACTTTTTTCGTAAATTAAGACAAATTTCTTCACATATTTATTTCATATACCGTAAAAATACTTCTAAAACTATAGTTTAGTTTCCATTCAAAAGAAATACTAATCCATTTACTGCACTGGGCCTTCTAATCCTGTTCTCAGAATTAAAAACTTTATTAGTTACCAGGACATCTTTGATTCTTGCTATAAACTTGCGCCCAGCAAATAAATTTATTATGATAAATTTAAATATTTGCACTCACCCATGACACAAATCAAATGCCGAGGCAAAACTAGTTGACCCAGTAAGTACTTGAAAATCAACATTTAATAAATTAAATCCTTGCGAGGGGACAACTAAAAATATGGATCTACTTCCTCAGAACTCGGCATGTTACAGCCCATACTGAAACTAATTGGGTTCTGTTCAGAGTCCAGTTCATCACAAAGATGAAGAAAGGGAAAAAGGGTGGGGAAAACAATTCTGGCTTAAGAATAAAAAAACTGCAATTTTCTGGCTGCACGATCCAAGAGTTTAGATATCAAATTGTATTTGCACCTTTGTAACATAACATCCATAACATGCTATGCACAAAACTTGGGAGGTATTCCTCCGGTCCTAAATATAAGACTCCTTTTATAGTGTAAGTGCACTATAAAAATGGTCTTATATTTAGGACCGGAAGAGTATTAGTTAATTCTGATAAAATCCAAAATTAACCACACCGGACCCTTCCAGGCTTTGAACAATTTATGAAGACATTGATGTTTTAGATTCTTGTGAACTTGGTCCGTAGATGGACCGAGTCAGATTATATATATATATATATATATATATATATATATATCATAGTCTTTTACCGTGTCTCTTGTTGGAAGACACTTTTGCAAAAGGCATCTGCATGAGAGCGAGAATCCCAAGCAACACAGTTCCATTTCTGATTTTATTAAGCGAAAAGCCATATGAACTCTTTGACCATTTGAGTGACAACAAAACGAAGGCTGAGGAAGGTTCATGGAAAATTCCCTAAGCGGGTCAAATTCAAAGAATTTGAAGAGAAAGCAATTAAGGTTCCACCCCCTTGCAAGACCAAGCTAATCTATTCTATTTGATTAATCGATTTCTGAATACTTCACTCCCTAACTACTAAGTTTTTTTTGCTTCCTTTACCAGTGACCTAGCCCTGTAGGGGTGTTTGTGTAATTATATGGAATCAACCGAAACTGTTGACTTTATTCATTATCTCATCCGTGTATTTCCCAGACCTTTTTCTTCTTCCTTCTTCCTTCCTCCTCCTCAGAGTAGTATTATATATAAAGTAGCTAGCATGTGGTTTTAGGTATGCATGAGTGAACACAGAAAATGGCACCAAATCTTTCATGGAAAGTTTCAGGAAACAGCATATATTTATTTTTATTTATGGAAAAGCATCACATGGAATTCCAAATTCTTTAATATTTAATTCGTAGAAGTTTGAATCTCAAAAGTAACATTATAGTATTAGGACTGCTGAACAATTGAGTACTTTCTTTGTTTTTCTATTATTCTTTTCGATTAAATTATTCCATCATATACCGTTTAGCTGGTCAATATTCCACCGACTTGTAGATTTGTAATCTGATGCTTTCTTTGTATTAATACTCCTCCAGTCCTTAATATAAGACCCATTTAACCAATTTGATTAAATTAAGGAAGTTAGGTAAGTTAGTTAATTATAAGAAAAATGATACATTTTTCCTAAAACACCATGATCATCTTTCTTAATACCCCCACTCCCTCTTCTACTTAATTATGGTTGAGGGAACATCCATAGGGGTAATTTAGAGAAAATTGATAAATATGATAAATGGGTCTTATATTTAGGACCAAAACCAACTCAAGAATTGGGTCCTATATTAAGGACCGGAGGAGTAAGGAATTTATACTTGACGGCATATTATTTTCAATCTAGGATATATTATTGCTACCTGCCTACCTTTATAACTTGCACGGAACGTCGATTTAAAGTTTTACACAGTGAGTAAGTAAGTTCATTGTTAGTCGTCTTTTTTTTTTTTTTTGTGAAGGGAAAAAAAGATCGGAAAACTATTGTGAGTTTCATGTGGCACAAATATAGTCCGGCTTGTTAAAACATGTTATATTGTATTTGGATTGTATAAATTCGAGTTTTTTTTTTTATGTCTGGGCGTGTGCACAATATAATGTAAATTTTTGTTACAAATATAATGTAATTACTAATTAGTTTCTCTTATATATATATAATTCTTCTCCAAGTCATGTGAGTTATATTTTTAGAAGTCTATATATAGCTAGGTTCATTTGTGAAATGATGGAATTTTAAATTAAACCAAGCAAAATCCTTGTTGAATTTGATTTGGTGGAGTAAACTATTAGTTGATGCTAGATAAATATATGTCATTTCTCAAGCGTTAATTATGACATTAATGGGTAGCAAAGCAATATGTAATGAAAAAAATTAACATTAATATGATACTTACAAATCTATCATAAGATTTTTTTTGTTTGGGCATCATACAAATCTATCATCTTAAGATTGACATGTCTTGAAATCAAGATTTGATCTTGCACGTATCAGATTGGATTCTCGTTGCCGTTAAAAAAAAAAAAAAGGATTCTCGTTGATAATAAATGGTTTAGCGATAAAAATGCCTGTTTTAATTACTCAGATAGTATATCTGGCAAAAAAAGAAACAAACAAACAAACTCGGATATTGCCTATTGGAAATCACTTGTAATTTTATTTGTCGATGTAAATTACTTGCAGTTATGGATCTTCTAAATCAAGAAAAATAAGTTACTCCGATCCGTTAAAATAGTTTTAAAATTTAAAAGTCTTCATCTTTCTCCATACTTAGCACCATCAATATTTTTTGCCAACCAATTAGCACCATCAATCTAAAAAGACCTACATTAATCTGGACATTTTTTAAAAGAAAAAAAATATTAAGTACTCCAAAAATTCATAGAGTAATCTATATTTATTATTTAGGACTAAAATTCTTTTATATATATATAGAGAGAACGCAACCTACAAGTAATATTAGGAAATATGTTAAATCAAGACCCGGTCCTAAATATAAAATATTTATATTATAAAATTGGTCTTACAATTAACACTAAAAGAGTGGTTGATACAACATAAATAAAATGACTTATATTTAATACGGAAAAATCCTTAATAATAATAAGGATTATTATTAGACAAAACATAGTCTATATATCCAAATCAACACCAGTCAATCTGGTTTTATTTTGACTGCTAGCCTTTCTATATTGTACCTTCTCTCTCTCTTTTTTACGTGTCAGTAACGGCATACATTAAAAAATTGTCTAATTGACCACGTAAAAAACTAATGGATTTTGCAACTATGCGTATGATTGATTTATGACATACTCCTACCTTCTTATGGGCGAATGTGTGATAAAGATTGTAAAAATAATTTATTTTTTATTATTAAATATGACGGAAAATATCTCTACACGTCAACCACTATTTTTTATAATCTGTATTGAATTATCGCAAAATTAATTAATCATGTCATAACTTAATAAAATACTCTCAAATTGATGAATTAGAACATTAAGATATTTAATTTAATGCTGCAATGCACCAAAATTTAAATTTGCAGAAGTTCTTTGTGAACAAAATATAATTAATTATATATATATTGAGTTTAGTTTTGCAATATATGCTTGAATAGGGTGTGATTTTAATTCTCATTATAGTGATGAGCGCGGTGCTAGTTATTACAATAAGACGTGGAGAGTTTAAATTTAAAATTTTAGAATAATACATACTTTATTTAACAGATTAACACAGATGATTTGGATAGCAGCTAAGAAAAACATACTCCTCCAGTCCTTAAAAACTCATTTAACTAATTTGATTAGATTAAGGAAGTTAGGTAAGTTAGTTAAGAAATGTGACACGTTTTTCCTAAAACACCATAATTATCTTTCTTAATACCCCATTTCCCTCTTCTACTTAATTATGGTTGAGGAAGTATCCATAGGGGTAATTTAAAGAAAATTAATAAATATGAGAAATTGGTCTTATATTTAAGATCAAA